GTTGAATACTGACATTTAGAAATGTGTACATAAAAAAATAATATTTAGAGGTTAAGAGTTGCCTCAGAAAAATTTGAATTGTTGACATTGAATTTAACCATGGAAACAATCGTTTTTGTGAAAAATTGAATTGTATTGTTGACATCAAAACTAAAAATATTGTGTTTCAACTTAACAATACTACCTTAATTTATACTTTAGAATTGCCTCGGAGAAATTTGAATTGTTAGAAATGACTTAAACAAAACGTTTTATTTTAACTGGCAAATACTATATTATAATTTTAACTTTTTCTATGACTATACTCATTTTTTTACTATTTTCTTTGTTTTTTTATGCATTTAAATTTTTGTGATAAAATAAAAAACTCATAGTTGTTCTGCTTCTGAACACTGATGAAAACACAAAATGATGGGCTTCATCAACAATCAAAAATATCTACATTTGTTTTACAAATTCCATGTTATTAGGGTGGCGTCCTTCAGAGAATTAAAAATACAAAATTATCTTCATCAAAGCCGATGCTTTACATTCGGCGTTCAGTGGCAAACTACTATTGCATATTGTTTTACAACACATGGCTTTAGCCCTCTGGTGGGAAAGACTTTAAAACAAAACTTACAACAGTTACTTTTCTCAACAACTGAAATTTAGAATAGTGTGATTAAGAAAAATATGTGAACTGTTTGCAATTTCAAATTAATATTGAAATGTACAGGTTTAGAATTTTCTACAGTGAAAAGTTTTCGGAACTTCAGTATTCAAAAAAGTATACAAAAGCTAGACGTTAAGAACGTATCCAATGAGCGAGCAAAGCGAGCATTGGATTGCGAAGCAATCCGAAATGAACTGCGAAAGCAGTTCCCGTGGTTGGCGAGCGCCAGCGAGCAGGGGGCGAAGCCTCCTAGTTTAATATAAATATAATTAAATCCTTATACAGGGGGAGAAAAAAATAATGGAATATCTTTAATAGTAATACATTTTTGTCGCATTTCTCAAGAAATACTTAAAGAATTATTTTATAAACTTAGAAATGTGTAGATCATGTGATTTCTCCTACTTATCAATGAAATTTAAAGCTTTTAGATGTTTGAGGGACGGACAATAAATTACAAACGAAAAATAGTTTTTCTGAATACCTTATACAAATAATGTAGCAATAAACTTATAATTTGTAACACCTATTTTGGTTAATATATGCAAAAGCTGCGCAAAATTTCGCAAACCTAGCTTAAATGTTTACAGAGATATGGAAATCTTTATAAGAAAAACTTAAATTTTTGTCGTTACTAATTTTTTACAGTGGGAGCGCAGTATAAAATAATTAATTTAATTGCTCATATATTGCGCTGTTTTAAGCAATTGTTTCTCAAATTTTAAAGCAATAATTTTTCAATTTTCAAATTGCTTCAGAAATTTTGTTTGATTTAATTCATTATGTTTGTTTAATTTATTTGAAGTTACAGCAATAATAAGGTTAGAAAAAAAAAGTTATTTATGAAAACGTCCATACTTCCATATATATTTATGCTAAGTTTACGAATTTTTGTGCAATTATTGCATATAATAACCAAAATAATTATTACAAGTAACAAATTTAGTGCTAAATTGTTTAGCATGTGTGCTCAAACACACACTCAAGGACACATTTTATTGCCAGCGTGGAAATCAAAATGCTTTCAGCAAAAATATTTTTACATTCTCATTAACAAAAAGAGGATAATCAACCTATTGCCTCACTTCTTATGGTCATCAATTATGGTTAATGGAATTTCCCTACTTAATCTATATATATATATATTTCTCTTACACGGCACCAAAAAAAGCCTCATTACAACTCCCCGAATGGCAACGTTAGAGAATCGACCAATGATTGCTGCTAAAAATGTCACATGGCAAATGTCACATGAGGTGGCTCAACATATAGCGCTTTTAAAAACGGAAACAATAACCAGAGTGAGCATTATCAGGTTGTTCAATTCAGATTCATGCCCTAAAAACATGATAATATTTAATTTAAACTCAATTAGGAATTAATTAGGCTGGCCTTCTCCATGACTATAAATAAGTCACAAGGTCAGACTTTTGAGAAAATCAGTTTAGTATTGACTAAACAAGTTTTTAGTCATGGACAACTTTATGTTGGCCTGTCAAGAGTTAAGTCATTTGACAGCCTTTCAGTAATTGCTCCAAGATGCCAAATCTATAATTGTGTTTTCAAAGAAATTCTAAATGCTTAGTGTTAATTTCTTAGAGCTTTGCAGAAAAAAATGTTTTTTGGAAAAAATTTAATTGAAACTTCTATTGGCAGTAGGCAAGGGGAACTGCCAAAATCAAAACTCCCCGATTAGAAATGCAGCATGGCGACCTCCACGTGGTATTTCTCGGGTAATGCTAACAGCCATGCATTTTAATTTATTGTATGTAAAACATCCTTATTTTGTTCTAAAATGTTATGTACTTTATCACAAATGTTAATTAATATAGAAATTGATTTCAATAATGCTGATCACCAAAAAATATTTCATTTGGCGATAAAACAAATTTTTGTGTTCTTGAAAATGAAAGACTTTTTGAGGGTTATTATCTCACAAGGAAAAGTTAGGGTTTAAAGTTTATATTTTTAAATAATAAAATTTTTTTCTAAAACTTTCAGAATTTCTAGCATTAACTAATTTATTATACACATTTAGTTGAATTTAGGTGAGTAACTGCAATATTTGATAATTTATTTTGCTAATATGTTTTTCATTTAGCTAATGTTTTGATTTTTTCACCATGTACAATGTTAGAGTGCGAACTAATTAACTGAACTAGTAAATTAATCAAGTAAATTAGGGTGTGTTTGGAATCAAAGCATCAATTCTTAAGTGACTGGGTATTTGTAATTAGAGAGGGCAAAGTGATCTGAATATTATCCAGAGCGTGTGTCCAACAGGAGCCTTATTATAAACTCTAATTCAACGACAGAAAACTGAGCAGTGGTGGTTCAGGTGATAGTGTTCATCTCCCAATGAAATGTCTTTGGTTCGAATCCCAGCGATGATAGGTTTATACGAATCGACCCCAGTGCTAAACATAAAATATCCTCAGAGGTCGATGGATCAAGGGTTAGATCTCTCGGTCTAACAATGTGAGTTTTTCGAGGTCTTTTTCTCCATGCAACGCAAATGCGTTTTAATTCCATCAAAAAGTCCTCTACGAAAACTAGTTTATCCCAATCCAGGAGCTTCTATCTCAACTCAGAAGTTTCTGAGTTTGGTTCGGAGGTTACGGAGTTGAACAATGATAGTCGTGCACTTAGAATCAGGATGGATGTTATAAAATAAATAACACCGGTTATAAAATAAAATAAAATAACAGAAAACTCACTTTATGAATATTGATTTTATTTCTATTGAATGATTTGAGCAAGAAATTTATTCCGACTCGCAAATACCACCAACATTTTTGTATCCAGGATTGCAGACGCATATTTTCTCACTATTTGTGAAAGTACATCCTTTCGAGTTTTCTCCGCAGTTGCAATCTATAAAGCAAATCATAAATATAAGCCTTTATTTCATAAACACAGATTTTCTCTAGAAATACGTAAAAAGCGACACAATTAATTCATAGATTCAAAAGAAACTAAAAAATCTAAATGACTATCAATTAATTAAAAAATTATACCTCTAATATATGTTAGAATATTTCATTTCTAACCATTTAATAATATGACAATTTCCCCTATCATTATTATATGGAATATTCTCCTATTATATAGGAAATCATATGGGTAAATATATTTCCAGTGGAATTATAATAATAGTTGGAATCAAAAATGAGATTATTTATACGTAGAAATATATTATTATTATTTTCAGACAAAGTTTATTGACACTTAGGAAACATATTTTAATTCAGATTGGATAAATTTTCATTGGGTTGCGAGTTGCCCATCTTAATTTACCATTGTGTATAGGTAAAAAGAATCTTTTAGGTAGAATGAAGATTCAGGTTACTACTGTCGAAATTAAACGATGCTTGCTGATACTCATCAAAAATATATTTCCTTTTTCTTGCAGAAAACTTTGTTATGCCATTTAAAATTATATTTGAAGACTCTTTTACTTTACTCTGCATACTACTTTTATCGATTTTGTCGGAAAGGAGAATGACTTGAAGGCGAATTTCTTCTAAGCAAGAAAAGTATTGTTTCCAACATATTTTTTCATGCTGAATTGAAGCTGAAGTTCAAGATCCGAACTAATAGTTTGGAAGGAGCCGTAGTAGCTCAGGAGATAGAGCGTTCGCCATCCAGTGAGCTGTACCGGCTTTGCCTCCCAGTGATGGCTGGTCGATCCGAATTTCACACCCGGCTCGTACCAACCACAGTGCTGACGTAAAATATCCTTAGTGATAGACGGTTGGTACGTTGGGGTCCCCTTGTAATCGGGCTAACTGTGAGAAACTTTCCTCTTCATGTAAAGCAAATTCGGGTTAGTTCTATCAAAAAGCTTTCCATGAAGGCAAATTTTTCCCAATACTTGATCAATTGATCCAGGAGTTCTGGATTGGCTTCAAAATTGCAAGGTTAAGGGGTTAAGGTTATATTAGCAGTCGTATGCCCTAAAATTGGGTCGACTGTTCAATGACTGTTATAAAATAAAATAGTTTGTACTTACGGCAAACAAGGTATTAAAGTATTTTTATTAAGTTTAAATAAATGTGACTATTCACGAGTCCAAAGAACGAATAGTTCAAAAGTGTCATGCATTTTCCTGTATAGAAAAAGCACACTTTTAGACGTGTGTAGGTATAGTGTGGAAAAAAATAAAAATTAAACAGTCTACCCCAAATAGGTCTTGATCCTAATAATCGGATCTTCACGTTCTAGGTTTAAAGGGGTGACCACAAATATGCTAATTATTTAGTACAAAAGATATTTTAAGTTACGAAATTCGACACAAAGACTACTTATTCAGAATAAACCTACTTTTTTTCTTCAACGGACTTGAATTTCCTACCCCCAAAATGTAGAGGGTAGGCGCAATCTGGAAAACATAGCCTTCGTTAAACAATTAAACTTATTAAAAAAAAATAAAAAAAATATTTTAAAAAACCACGTTTTTGTAGTGGATAATAATAATTAAAAAACAAAAATTCGAAAAGCGAAAAGCGTGGGGCGCATGAAATACATAACAGTAACAGTATGTGTGCTCTTTAGAATATGTGTATGTATATCTGTAATTGCATATGAATGTGTATGTGGTTGTGCATGTGTATGAGTAAGAAAATGTGTATATGTACTGTTATATATTTCACGCCCCCTACGTTCTTCGTTTTTCAATTTTTTGTTTTTTAATTATTATTCTCCACTACAAAAATGTGATTTTTGAAAATATTATTTTTATTTTTATTTTTTTTTTTTTGTACTCACTTCCAAAATCTCAATTTTTTCACTCACAGTACACAAAACTTTTCAACTGACATGTGACACTCATTTGAAATAATCAAATCGACAACAAAAGACAATCGCAAAAATATCAATTTTTCGTTAATTTTAATTTTATTTTACTTTGTATGTCTTTTTTCTCTTCATTTTCATGCATTGTCATCCAATTCTGAACTATGGGCCAAATTTGAAGTCTGTAGCTAGTCGGGAAGTTAGTTTAAACTCTATTACAAAATTCCACCCGAAGAGACATACACGAAGGCAAGTTGATATAAACGGGGTAAAACTGATAGAAATGGAACTCATTCCTTTATTTTAAAGTGGTAGGAAAGGTAAGGATGCTAATGAAAATCCCCATATACCTTCGCACTTATTATTCATTCATTTAATCATATAACTTGAGTAATTTAAGCAATGAAATAAATAAAATAAAGGTTAAAATATAAACGCTATTGAAATATGTCCTTAAGTATACTCTAAAACACATCTAGAATAGATTTTGGATAGATGAATAAAAAATCCATTTTTCGAATAGGGCGGAGACGTTAACCTGTTCGACATAGTTGACTTCGTAACTATTTAACTTTGATTTCAGGGAAGGAAATCATTCCATTGTCTCATTTGTCTTTTAAAACTTCAAATTTGACGCAGTTGTTTAACCTCCTAAAAAACGTTTTTCAGAACAGCAGTCAAAAAATAAATCAAACAAAATAAAATTAAATGAAAGTAAATAAATGAATGAATAAATAAAAATATACTGCTTTTAAATTTTTAGAAAGTTTTGATGAATTATATATTACTGTGTTTTTTTTTCTATCTAAGAGCCATTACCATTACTTTACGTTAAACTTACGTTAAGTATTTTAATTTAATATACTGTGTCACTAAAGGAAAAATCCCCAATAAAATATCCCCATAAAAAGATAATTTTCTTAAAGAAATGTGAAAATGCAAATAAAAGTCGATATGTTTTGAGCATTCAAAAATTCACGTCACGAGTCGTTAACGTCTTGCGAGCCCCGAGAATGGCAACGTTTGAAGTAAATGTTTAGTGCCCTCAAAAATAGGCACCGATTTTTAAGACTCGGTAGACAAGAAATCTTAAAGTGATTTGAAACAAAAAATGCATGGGTGCCAACGAAAAATGGAAAATAAATGTGGAAAAAAGAGAACTAGAGAAACCGTGGTAGCCGAGAGTGAAATTGCAAGTGCAGCCTTGGCTACATTATTTAAAAAAGAGTTTTAAAATTTAGACTGAAGGAAAACGGTATATAAGTCCCTTTACTAGAGATACCCAAGATGCACATTCTTTGAGGATAAATTTAATCTCGATAATACCATGACCTCCGAGAAGGGGGTCATACTTCTCGGGGGTCACGATAATACCCAACCACCCCTGCCACATCAGCTTCATCTTTGATACCCCAGGAATCTTGTTTTATTCATATGAATGCCGATATTCTTGTTAACGATATTAATTTCGCCCCGTGGTATTTGGAAATGCATTTTGCATTGATTTACCGTTCCCAGTTTTTCTATTTTTTTTTCTTCTTTAAATTTTTTATTTCCTATTTCACTCTTAGGGTACTGCGGTTTTTCCACCACTATTTTCCACTTTTATTTTTATTTTCTTGTATAAATAGATTATTTAACATTATTTCTCGTTGAAATAGATTATTGTTAAATAATACAGTGGTGAATATAAACGTAATAAAATACATTTATGTTAGTTTTGCTGTCACTAATACAGTTTCTTAAGGACCTCACGAATTCTGTTTAAGAGGAGACTATCGTATCATATGTATAATTTATGTAATGATGGTAAGAATGGTAAAGTAAGTTTGTAACAAAAGGAATAAAGCAAAGAAATTATGGTAGCAATATTTGGTGATAACTGTTCAACAAGTTGAGCAATATTTCATGGTTAATTTACGAAAATCCGTTTCTGATTGTATCAAAACATCAGGATGCCATTTGCAAATTATCTAATTACCTTTATCTGAAGAAAAAACTCACTTATTTGATAGAATGAAGCGATTTTTTTTTAAAAAAAATGAATCCTACAATGTTCTTAAACATACATATTTCAATCTTTTTTAAAATGTCACATAACATTCACTAATTTTTTCAATTATAAAAAAAAATCGTGAATTATATGAAAGTGCATTTTCTATTTTTTACTCGATCTTTTTCGTGATCTACCCTACATCTCAGTACATACTTAAAATAATGCAAATTTGGTTTCAGTATAAAATCTTCATATTTAAGAAAGTTAAAAACAACTTAAAAAATACTATAATGACTTATAAAAAATTCATGTGTTCGTATACTAAGATCTTTAAAAATTGTAAATAATTTATAAATCGACTCAAATTTTATTTTTCAGGGAGATGAAAACAGGGGAAATCTTTGCTTTTTGGGCAGAAATCAAATTAAAACAAATCAGTTGCCTAGGAACTTCAAGAAATTTTTCTTTTAACTATTTGAAAAAAAAGGAAGAAAAAATGCCTTTCCAACCCAAGTTAACACAAAAACGATGAATGGGTTATTTTTTATTTTATTCTTTTTAATTCTTTCAGATTGATTGCTTAGCAACGGAGAATTTCTCTCTTTTCGATTACGCAGTTAGAGTATGGTTACAGTAAATATCTCTTTCTGCTAACTATAGTTCTTGACCTCTTTTTGGGACGACGCCAAATATATATAACTTCCTAGCACCCCAATTTTTGAACCAATTTATTTTGAAATTTTGTCTACCTTTCCCCTATTTTGAAGGTCAAGAATCCAAATAAGTAAATATATGTTTATTCAGAGAAAATACATTTCTGAGTTTTGTCACTTAATCATTAGTTAGTTCTAATTGATTAGCATATTTGAAATCCACCCCAGAAAACATCACGATTGACTCTTAGAACGTGAAAATCTGATCATTAAAACAAAAGTTATTCAGGGTGATATTTTTTTGCGTACTGTACATACATAAAAGTAACACTTAAGACAAAAAACATATGACCTTAACGTATCTCATCACAAAATGTATTATCGCCTTGTATTATTGCCTTCTTCTTACCGATCTTAGCATTTCAGAGAAATGGGGACACTTAGTAAATGAATTTTAACAAATCCTGCTGAGAACCTATTATTGAATTGTATAATAATTTAAGTTTCTGGAGAACAAACAATGGCGTAATTGTCCCCCGATATTATCATAAATTTCGCATTGTTTCATTTCTGATGACATAGCATGTAAGAAGAAGAGGAATTATTGCTGTCTTATGCTCCTTGTCAATTACTGGCAAGTCTATATTAAGGCATAGGGGTGGGCTTCTTGTTTACTAAGAGCGCCCTCTATGGCCAAGAATTCGACTTCTGCCACACATATGCATCAAAGCCCGTTTTACAGGGAGGACGCAATCGCACAACATCCATCCATCTACAGATTATAATTTTGACTTGAACCAGAGCACGATTAATCTCCAATTCAATATCCCCAGAGGTGTTATGGGAACTTGTAAGACTTGTAGTACCGACAGATTTAACGTGCAGTCACCATTTACTTCACGGGGAGTCTTACACCGGCCAGGATCGAACTCACGACCTCTTGGACATGGTCCCAAGACCAATCAGGCTATCCCAACCCTGAGGAAATAAAAAGCCTTATACCTTCGCATCTGTCTCCGTGGTTGTAATGTCCTCGATGGCATGTGCAAGTTTTCACTCCATCTCTGAAACTACAGGATGTTGCACCAGCACCACAATCGCACACTGTAATTTAATAAAGAGAGCATTGATTTGTTGTCGAAATTTATAAGCTAGATAACAAACTTTATAATGTAGGATTCCCAGAAGACAAATGTCGACATTTGAAAATCTTTATCCCCAATAAGACATATTATTTTCAAATCTGACAATTAAGTCATCTAATTTTAAAAGTAGAATTTGGAGATATGAAAATTCTATTAAACACTAAAATGGCCCCCCCCCATAAAAAGATAGATGATTTTCAACTACTGCTATGATTTGTTTAACACTTTCATCGAGGCAAAAGCGTGTTTATGTCTTACCTTCTGCACTAAATTGAAACAAAACGCGATTTTTTTTTAAAACATGATTCTTAAACTTCAAAAACTAATAATCAATTGGAATCAATAACAAAATTCCCTCTGTGTTTAAAAAAATAATAAAATGAAAATAATAATCTACACTAAATATTGGTAAATAGGTTGTCTGAAACGCTACTATAGTATTGAAAATCTTTGTGTAGAGGACGAGTTATTTCGGCGCACAGCAAATTTTCCTTCAAAACGAGTTATCTCGTCAATTAATCGTTTTTTATTTTGCGCACTTTTTATATGTACATACATTCAATGATAAATTCAACAGATATAAATTCAATGATAAATACAATAAATAGAACATATTCAAGATCGCAATCTCACGTTCAAAATCCACATCAGAGCAGAAAAGTGGGAGCAATTTCCACTGAAAGGCAATCAGTCTGTCAAAAGTATCAACCTGCCTGCTTCATGCGTGCATATTTTAACTGTTGAAAGGCTATTTTATTTTTATTATATCAACCGATGCCAGAGCCCATTTTTTTAATCTGTCATTAAAATCAATCCAGTTGTTCTGAAGATATGTATCCAAATCTGAAAATTCTCTCATTTTTGAACACCAGTATCTAAGTCAAACTTTCTATTCTCTTCGAAATCTGCATACAGATTAAATATGATCTGATGTCTCTTACAAAATAGGAAAGAAAAGCTGAACAAAAACATTTTTATAAGAAAATACAATCTGTTAACTGCTCAGCTGACATGAATTGAATTGTTTATTGCTTAAAATCAAGTAGTTTCTTCAGCGATTTGATAAAATAACAATTGTTTTAATCAATTGTAAACAATTAAAACATTTTGTTTCCTAGATCTTTTTTTTACTAGTTCTAGATTTACTGTCTTGTTTTATTAGGTATTTTTCAGAACTGTGTTTACCTGATCATGTTTCTAACTCTGAAATAAAATCATGTAAATAAATCTTGTGAACTTTACCCTTGCATTGTTTGTCATGATGATCGAATAGCAGATTGCGATCTTTGCATCTGCAGAAAGCATACGCTGTTATACCGTGGTTGTAGTAGTAGTCGCAGGTCACGTGATCGCTCGTGCCGCAGTCCACTACCTTGTTGTGACAATCATCGATCACTTTGCAGTGTTCTCCACTGGTGCCCTCAATGCAGTGGCAGGAACGCTTCTTCTCAATGTGTTCGTAATCTAGACAGGGTTCCCATCTGGTGCACTTATCGTGACATACACCGAAAGGTAAACAATCCTCGTTTGTCCGACACTTATCTGAAATATCAAGCGAGTGAGCAGCCGTAAGCAAGAAAAGAAAAAACTTATAAAGTAGATATGTATTAAATACAAACATTTAGTAAATAAAGCAATATTTAATTTAGGCGCAAATTATTCTCATTTAGATTATGATGTCTTTTAATTGGGTATTTAACTTTGTTTGATTTCTTTTCCATTTAAAATTTTCAATTGTATTATTAAATTTCCAGGATAGTTCACTTTCCTGCTACTGATGTTTATAGTTTGGCGCAGAATTAAGATATTTTTCCTACTTTTCATTCTTTGTTTTGTATTAAATTAGGTAAAAATACTGAAAAATATTATATTTAAAATTTTTTTAATTTTTAGTTATGAAATAAAGCATGGGGCACCGGTGTTACTTTCTACGCTAAAGGTAAAATCTCTCAAACCCGGCTCACTTCCGAACAATAATTTTAGAAATTTACTGTTATTTCGATCTAAGAGAAATAGTAATTCGAACTTATTTAATTTACAAAATCAATTGTAGATAAATTTTTGAATATGAATGAAAAACAATTTTTGACCCAGCTAGTGCCGGGGTTGCCTGCGAACTTCTGATAGTGGTGTATTAGTTGTGCTCAAGTTATCCTCTGCAAAACGCAGTGTGAATAGTCCTTTAGTGTGAAACAATTTCATTTTCCGAGTACGACAAGTTAATTATATCTTATAGTGGACATTTTAAAAACATCCTAATATGATTTTCATTCACCGAAAGACTTTTAAATAATTGTGTGATGTGGTTTTCATTTATTTTTCTTCGATTTTCATGAATATTGCGGGCCAATTGCTGAAACATTCTAAACTAAAAGAAAGGAATAAAAAGATATAAAATAAGTATAAGAAAAAAAAATATATCATGCCACCTGAACTTGAAAGCAAGATCTGTTTTATTAACCTTAACTGTTTTCCTGTTACAAACTACTAACCTAAACTAATCTTAATTTAAATTAGAGCACATTGTATTAATGTGTTACTATCCTTGACTAAATTGAACCTTGATTCAAATAACTTCATCTATTTTTTATGCTTTTCTTTTAATTTTAAAATTTTACGAGTCCTAGACGTTTCTGGAATACTATTTAAGATCATTCAAAAGAGGCTGTTTTTCTACTGGGATCTATACTCTTTTTCGAGTTAATTTTCTGAAAATTAAGCCAGAGAGAAAAACCAAAATTTTCAACACCTTTTTGCTTTTAACCCTTTTGGGCACAGTGTTTCCAATCTGACAACACTTATTCAAAAAATATTATTAATTTAAAAAATTTAACTATAAACGTTTGCAACTACTATTTCCTTTTTTATACTACTTTTTGGCAACCACTACTTTTTAAACAGCATGGAGCTTAAGAATATCTCTTTATAGCGGTCAAAGATATCAGTTGCTAATGTGCTCCCTTTTGCCTCAAATTTTCAATACATTTATTTTCAAATGAAGGAAGTTCAGGACTTACTTCGCTCGACGCATCTTTTTTGCGGCCAATCAAATCTCTGGTTCTGGTCCTTGCACTGACAATAAGCTCGCTCCAGATATGTATTATACCTACAGATGACGCCACCTCCATCACCGCAATAGTTGGGATTGTCGATACATTCTTCCACTCTTTCGCAGTAGTCTCCACTTGTCCCGAATTTACATTCACAGTAATGAGGTTCTTTTTCATCGTAATCGTAATTAGCATTTATACAGTCTGCTCCGTTAAAACACTCCTTATAAGTTTGGCAGGGCTCTGAAAGAGAAATGAAAGCGAAGCGCATAATCAGTAACTAATCATCAGTTATCCCATCCAAAACTTATTAATTGGGGATGGATTCAAAAATAGGTTATATTCAGGTCATTTGAAACACATAATCATCAGTTATCCATCTGAAAAATGATCAATAGTGGATGGATTGAAGAAAAAGTTAACATTTAGGTCATTTGAGACGCATAATCAGTAACTAATTATCAGTTACCCCATCCAAAAACTATTAATAAGGGATGGATTAAAAAAAAGATTACATTCAGGTCATTTGAAACACATAATCATCAGTTATCCATCTGAAAAATGAGCAATAATGGAAGGATCGAAGAAAAAGTTTAGATTTAGGTCATTTGAGATGCATAATCAGAACTAATCATCAGTTACCCCAACTGAAACTTAGTAATTGGGGATTGATTCAAAAAAAGGTTATATTCAGGTCATTTGAAACACATAATCATCAGTTATCCATCTGAAAAATGATCAATAGTGGATGGATTAAAGAAAAAGTTTTCATTCAGGTCATTTGAGACGCATAATCATTCACTAATTAACTAGTCATCAGTTACTCTATCAAAAAACATTATTAATAGTGCGTGGATTAAAAAAAAAGGTTTCAGAAACATATTTTAAAATAAAAATTTTGTAAGAAATATATTTCAGACTGGGGACAGAAAGCTCTAGTCTGACAGCCGTTGTGGTTAGCCTGTGCAAAAATCTTATTTGGAAGTCTTAAATTCCGACAATACCTTAAGGAGTAAAGAAATATGAATTAAGGTTACGCTTAAATTTAAAATTTAGCCAATACTTACATCAGGGATGCTACACATCATTAAAAATATAAAAAGTGGTGCTAATTTTTACCAATCCATTCCCTTTCAGCACCTATTCATTTTTTTTCTGGTTATTTATTAATTTAGTCTTATTTCTCTAACGCATTTTTTTAACCATTATACTTTTTGGCCATTTGTCTTAATAAGATGTTACTTATCCGTTTACAGAATATTGTAATTCTAGTATTTTATTAATTAATCCTTTAGTCTTTTGTATTACATCTTAAACATTTTTCCCTAAGCTATTAAGCAAACAAGCTTTATTAAAGATATAGTTTATTTGTCCGTTCTAAAGCTCAGATAATTCGTCACGGCAAGTGTCGTGATAATTCGTCTCAGATAATTCGTCACGGCATATGCATATAGTTTAAATTCATCGCATTGCTTCAAATGTAAAACTCTTAAACTATGACTTTTGGTATTTTTCTTGGCGACAGAGCGTCAAAAAAAATATTAAAAGAAATATCAAGAAGAAAAAAAAGAAAACTACTTAGGAACGCGAAAAGTAACACTTAAATAATGTTCTCAAAATATGGAACAACTTCCTGAAATAATGGAATCCTATTTTCGAGTTTGAAGATGCTTTGGTGATCAATAAAAAAAATAAAAAAATTCATGTTTAAACAGAAAAGTATGTCTTCTTTTCTAGTCTAATTTCGTAATTTAAAATATCGCATGATATAATAAATTGGCGTATTCAAAATTCTTCGATGATTTAATTCAGACTTACTTCGATCCACACATGTTTTAGTGGGAATGTCGAATCTCTTCCCGAATGTCAGACATTCGCAGATGGTCCTCCGCTTCTTCCGGTGGAATCCACAGGAGACATCTGGGTCATTGCCACACATGCCCGGATTGTCGACGCACTCATCGATGATGTCACAGTTTTTGCCACTAATGCCTTGAAAACAGTCGCAATACTCTTCTCCTAAGTTACCTCGACAAACACCCATGAAGTTACAATCTTCTCTTGACGTGCAACGACCTGAGCAACAACGTAAACAGCGATCAGTGCAAATAATATTTTTTGTGAAAAAAAAAGAGTTTCTATTGCATTGTGTGCTTAAAAACGTAAACTCTTAGTAAACAGAATAAGTGTCTCAGGATTAAGTGATTTTTCTTCACTTCACACTTTTCCCCTCACCGTCACCATAATTTAGCAAATCTTGCTTTTTCTCAACTCTATTATATTCCAACTTGTTACTGAAACGTACTGCTGTGGGGGGAAAGTAAGATTTGCCAAAACCAAAGAGGGGAAAATATGAAGAGTAGGGATATCGCATTACCTTGAGACACCTTTTCCGTTTACAGAGATAATTTTTTTAATTTAGAGAAAAATATAAGCCAAAATTTTACCTGTGTCTTCTCTGCTTCCACTTAATACTTTTAAGTTCATGTGATAAATGTCACTCACATTTCTTTCAGCACCGACAAGCTCAAACATGAAATAAATTGTGAAACAATTTATTAGCAAGAGTGTCGTATTCATCCCCATGTTCAAAAAGATAACACTTTTAAACTTGTATAAATTTCAGTTCAATTTCTGTAAAGAAGAATGAAATTATATCATTTCTTTAAAAAAAAAAGTTTTTTGTTTCTTCCAATATGAAAAGAACACTCCGTGCTAAAAAGAAATGAAATCGGATAATATTTTGTTCTCCCTTTAATAAAAATAAGAATCAAATTTAAATCAACTGATAAAAAACGATTTCCTTTATCATACTCTTTGGTAACAGAAATTATTCGTCACAATTTTTCTCACGAGTTTTATCGAAAAATTTAGAAGAAAGATAAACAGATGTTTATTATGATGTGACTCGATTTAATTTTAACTCTCGATTGGAAAAGTATTTCATAAATTGCGAAGGTTTTAAAATAAAGATTTAAACTTACTGAAAGTGATAAATGAAATATGTAAGAAATATTTTCGATATAAAATTAGATTTCACCAAATAATAGCATTTCATAATACTACAATACATTAAAATTTTCGTATTGAAAGCCTTTTACAAAAATTTCCAGAAAAATAGAAGAAGAATTTTATTTTATTTTATAATTAGAATTGAACAGTCGACTCAATTCTGAATTCACGACTGTCAATGTTCAATTCCATAGCCTTGTAACTCTGAACCAAATCCAGAAGACAAAGGAACTCTTAGATCAAGTATTGGAAGAAATTTAGCTGCGTTGAGGACATTTTGATGGAACTAGTCCACATTTACGTTGCATTGAGAGGAAAACCTCTCGCTGTAGGGAGACTCTAACCTATGATCCGTTTACCACTGAGGAAATTTTATGTCAGTAACGCGACCGGTGCAAGCCGGTAGCGGGCGGAATGCGTATCTACCTGCCATTGCTTGGATTCAAACCCAGATCACCTCATTGGGAGGCAAGCTCCTCCCACAGGGATTGACAAATCCTGGATGTCAGGTCAACCAGGTGACTAGAAAAATTTTCTTGGCAATTAACTTTTTCACGTTTTATTCTATTGCATATTACTTATGTTAAGCAGAGAGATTCATTAGAAAAAAAATCAAAATCATAATACTCCTTCGTTGTAAAACAGTCATTCATAGATGGTATTTTAAAGCTAAAACTCAAAGGCATTGCAATGTATGTATTCATTTATCTGCTGCTTTTGTGTTTATTTCATACAAAAGAATTATTTAGAAAATTTCTTTTAAATTTAATTTTTTATGCATTCATTTTCGATTGAATAGGCTGCCATTTTGTAAAAAAATATTTTAAAAAGGCTTGTTACAAGAAAGGAAAACTATAATAATAATTGCTGACAGGTTAAATTTTGACTAAGAGAATTAAAAATAGTGGGCTTATAATTTTCAAGTGAAACAAGAGGTATCCAAAAAAATGAGAATGCTTTATTTTGGAATGAATTTTAATACGTTGCAGAAATTTGACAACGTCTAATGGTACCAGTCCACCTTAAATAATTTTTTTTTATTTTGTCAAATTTGCTATTTATATTAAAGTTTTCTAACATTTTTACCATTACATTGCTACTCTCATTTTATTATGCAACGCATGCGTTTCTCAAACAAAAATTTTATTACTTACTCAAACTTAAACCTAGTTGATTTATTTAGTTCAGTACCGTTTCAAAGAAAAGTATTAATTTTCTAATATTGAATGGAATTGCTATTAAAATTTTGGCAATTTGCCATAGTGTTTTAAATTAGCGAATAAATCAATATAATGTGAAAGAAAAAAGTGGAACAAAAATGGAATTAATTGGCTTTTTAAAATATTCTCTCGATATTTAAAAAGCAGTTATTAATTTCTGCACTACTATAGATGATAAAGGAAATAAAACCACGTCCTTACAAGTATCTTAACGGACCACTAGATAATAAACTATATATCTACATTTAATTTTCCCATGCTTAACACTATATCAAATTTACTTTGAATATTACAGGATCAAGAATCACAGAATACATTCCATAAAAATGTCACTTCAACCCCTTCCTAAGTGGGAGGAAAGAAAGAAGGCCTCCCTGAAAGCAACATGCAAGCGGGCAAACAATGTGTAGCCCAAAAAGCTGCTTCTTACATTGAGGAAAACTGGAAATGCAAATTATGAAAAATAGAGCGGAATCAAGAAATGGAAGAGGAGCATACTTTAAAGATGCCCAAATAGAATTTCAAGAAAACAAAGTGTTAGCAAGTGATCCAAGATAATTGAATATTTTATTAAATAAATATTTGATTATTTTACTGTGTTGTGTATCAGTGTTATTCAACACGTGTTGTATAACTGTTAAAAAATGCAATTTTCCACATAATTTTGTTGCCAGTGGGAACTTAAGAAATAATGGTACATTTTAATTATAACATTGCCTTATTATTGATGACAGGTTTGATTAATGTTGTTAATTGACTATTTTCTTATTTCACAAGGTTAATGGGAAATCCGTATAACCGTAGAAAATTGTCATATACAAAGGATGCTTAATGTATAACTGGTTTTAAGGTAATTGATACAATTGTAACAAGATTTCTACAAATGAATTTTCGTAGTTTTAGAAAATATTTTTCCCATGCAAAGACATTGTATTGCTATTTTAATGAATTGGAATTAACTATTGCAACTTTTAACAGTCAATGAAAGATCAGATAGAAAAATGTTATATTCCAAAGTCCTTATCAAGGTCTCATAAAATTTATTTGTTTTTAGAATTTCAGCTTGAGTTTACTGATACGAATAAATGTATTTTTCACAAAATTCAAATTTTGAAGGGTTACGCAATAAATACTGATACAGTTATTTGTTGATTATTAAGACTTCAATAAATAGTAATACCAACTGTGGAAATAGTTGCCTTACAGCCCCTTAATAGGGATATGTATCGAAGAAAATTATTTGATACTAATGTTAGTTGAGCAGGAGCAATATCACTCCAAGTGATGCTAAATGCAGTTAATCTCTATTCTGATTAGATGAACTACAAAAATCATGTTTTAATTATATAATATAAAGCCACCAAAAAGATTTAAAAATGAATAATCTAAAATGAAATTATTTTAGCTTCATCAATATAAACAGCTTTGTGAGAAAAAATCAGGTTACTTTTTCAAAGGGGTTAATAATCAGGGAAAGAAGAAAAAAAAGTAATATCAGTAAAAAAAAAATTACCGATTTATCAGTAGACTGGACAAGTAATTCTTTATCTTATTTTATTTACCCAATTTAAAAATAAAATTGATGCAAGCATACTAAAAGCTAATGCGGATCAATTGTGTTAATATTAAAGTGAATTACATAACAGTACATACTAATAACAGTAGATATGAACCAGTACTTTTAAAAAAGACATTGACAAATTTAAAAACATGCTTTAATATATTTAAGTTTAAAAAAGACAAATTTTAATTAAAATAATTTGAATTGAGGACATTTCGTTTTGCAAATCCAGCAGGAGAGAGTGTGGTAATAATTTCTTGGGATTCTGGTATCTTTAGTTGCTTCAGCAATTTTTCTATCTTTGAGTCGTTAGGTGGCTCTTCATCACCTATTGAAAATAAATTGTAATTTGTGCTCATCCTCATAGATCTGACATTAGTTGGATCAACTCCAAAAAGTTGTTGGCAGGCTGAAAGTCGATGTCCTATTTTAATTTAACGCATTTATATAGTGGTAGATATAAAGAACTGTAATTTAATTTTTGGCTTGATGAGGAATTAACATGTTTCAAAATATCCTTCTTTGATGTTATTCACTTAGCTCGCCGTTAGAACATGGCTGTTCATACTTCGGCTTAGAATATAGCTTAACATAGAAAGTAGGCGTTACTCTCCATAGCATCATATTTTGGATAAAGATTTAAGCAAGGAAATTTCTTACTCGATAACATCTTTTATTTAAGATGCTTCTTAAAAATGTTACTTAAATATTTACTTACAGTACTAAAATCTTTCATTCTTCGCTTTTACAATTGGCAAAATTGAATCAAGTTTACGAAATAGAAAATAGGCGTTACTTTAAATAGTATGACATATCTGAATTAAAAATTAACCAAGAAAACAAATTTTTTTATTTTTTTTTTTACTTGGTTTCTGTTTTTTAACCCCTTGATGACGGGTGATTCAGAAAAGCATTCGCACGAAATTAGGATGTAATTAAATAAAAAACGGTAACTTAAATGTAGTCGTTGCTAATTTGACAGAATACTTTGCTTTTACTTTAATTATTGTTACTTTAATGATATATATAATCAATGTTAAGTCAAAGCATAACTAAATAGTTTTATTTTGAACAAAGTAATGGTAAATTAAATAAATCAAACAATTATAACTCCGCCCACAAATAAACTGCTCAAGAATTAATTTTAATTACCAGTTGATACGGTTTTATACTGGCACGTATGTGTGATATTTGTGACTAGTAACTAACTGTGAGATCATAAGCGACTTGTCAAATTTAAAGCGATAAATTAGTTGTCACCTTAAGTAAATCACCTTACCCACAAGAGGATGAGGTAATTTTTATCTAAATTTTCCTTCTTAATTTAAATAAAGTCTTACTTATCACTTTAAAAAAGAGTTGTGTAGGAAGAAACACATTGTAGAATAATCCAGAGACACCAACGCTTCGCGACCCAGGTGCCCAATAAAATCAAAACACTAGGACTAGGCAGAGACGCCAACTCGCTCCGGACGGCAAATAAATATTTTCGTTTTCTGATTTATTATTCTTGTTTTAGTAAATTCAATTTGTAGGATTTTTACTCATCACTATTTTGCATCACATAAATAATTATGTGATGCTCCACTTTTCAGCAGTTAAGCCTTTTTAAAAGTTGTCAAAACGAACCGAAAAATTCCAAATATTAGTTTGTATTCCTATCCCAAGGTTCCCGCNGTGGTGCATGTTTTTGCGTCGCTATAAAATTTTGTGGTCAATTTGGCTATAAAGCAATTGATATCATCAATGTTTAAGTCTTTTCTGAGTAATCTATTGCTAATCGCCCTTGGGGCGCCAGTCATTGTGCGTAAAAATTTACCTTCAGTTGTAGATAGCTTCTTTTTTAGGTTGTTGCTTATGGTAGTGAGGGCTGGGCAAGCATACGTAAGAATTGGTCGAATCGCTTGTATATAGATAGTTCTTTTATTTGCTAGATCAAGCTTTGAATTCTTATGCAGGAGGACTTTGAGCGCAAAAAACGCTCCTCTGGCTCTTTTAATTATGTCGTTTAAGTGAGTACTCCAGCTCAAATTATATGAGATCGTGACGCCGAGGTATTTAACGTGTTTCACTGGTTTGATCTCAGTATTAAAGAGATAAATGTGGGGAGTATTTTGTTGTTTTTTCTTACTATTTATGATTAGGAATTGACTTTTGTCGGGGTGTAGTTTTGTGCGCCATTTGCTAAGCAAGTCTATGAACGTTGGAAATGATGAAAATCTCAGTATTCGGCGCGAAGCGCCGCTAACTGATTCGTCTAAATTTGAGAGTCCTAATTTGCATAGGCATAAATTTCAAAGTGAAATATATGAAAAGTTCGCCACAGCCTGGCGCTGTGGAAGTCATGTGAGTGATAGACTTGTGGGCACTAATTCTTGGTCTCAGGGAGTAGGGATCTAAGTAGCTTCACTAGCTCTTCATCCTTAAGTAGCTCTTTCATTTCTTGAAAAATTTTGAGGAATCTGGTTGCGGAGTTAGTGACATTCTTGGGTTGTCTTTCAACTTTAGGGATCCCCCTGGGTCTTGCACCGCAGCCTGTAAAACAGGCTGGGTGCTCACCATTACAATTGATGCAGATCGCAGGTTCTGTAGGTGGTTTTGTACACTCGTACGTGTAATGTTCTCTGGCGCATTTCATGCAGGCAGGAGCTGTGGCAGTACAATTTCTTTGAGTGTGTCCAAATTTCTGACATTTAAAGCATTGGATCTGGAATCTGCCGCCTCTGAAGCGCTCGATCTGTACTGGCTTTTCTAGGATAGTCTTAATGTTGTAGATGTTTCTGTTGCTGGCTGTATCCCATTGGATGATGAGAAAAAGTGGGAGGGGCCTAAGCTCCTCCCCTCTTCTTCGCTGCAGCTGAACTATTTTTTCCGGGAGAAGTCCGATGTCTTTAAGGTTTTTCTCCAATTCGAGTAAATCTGTATCAGTTTGAAGACCTCTGATGAGGGTTTTCATTTTTCTATTAGGAGTTGAGTCCGTAATTTTGGTGCTAGAAGTGGTGGGTTCAACTTGTTCGGCCTCCTTCTCGCATTCTGCCGGCACTGGGAAGTCGGGAGCTGTACCTGGGTTTGGGCTGGTGCTCTCTGAGTCTGCTAATGTTGTTTGGTTTACACTAGTCTTGGATTTTTTCTTCTTTTTCTTTATCTTTCTCACGGGGAGATTGGGAATTTCTGTTGTATCCATCTGAGTGGTGGTCTGTGGTTGTATTTCAGGCTCAATGATTGGAGTAGATACGTCTATATCCGTGATTTGAGTATCCATGTTTTCCACTGAAGTCTCGGTTTGTCTGGGGGTTTCAGTCTTAGTAGGTTCACTGGTCTTGGCTAGGGTCTCAATCATCTTGGTCTCCCAGTCTTTCCAATTTTCTAAGAATTCAGTGTCCTCAGGGAATAACATCATCCTTCTTTCTGCAAATATTCTAACTTTCTTTATGACGAGTTCTAAATGGTTGCCCGTTTTGTATTGCAAAAGTGCGTTATATCCTTCGATCATAGCGTCTATGTCCTGCTTGGAGCTGTGTTCGAGTGGTGCATGAGGGGTGAGTGGCTTAGCAGCCGTCCTTTTGCCTCCACGTCCAAATCTGTGATAGGATGACATTGTAGCTAGGGAGCTTGGTCACAACACAACCTTACTCCACAGAGTCTGGAACGAGCAAGTCTATGACTGGATCGTGTAATTTTGGCAAGGTACCTGCCCGCGCACGCGGGCACTAGACCTCTGATCTGAAATTTGCCCTAGGGCGACTGGTACTAATGGCATTGGAAGTGATGAGGATGGAAAATTTGGAGGAGTACGAGGCAGTAACGGCTCGAGATGGCTGCATATGCAGATCAAATCATGATAACATATAAGTAAAGGATATGAAAATTGGCAAAAATAAGTAATGA